TTCCCGAGGCACGTTGTAATTAAACCAACAACAGCTGTAATCCACCCCAATTGGCTAACAAAACCCACAAACATACAAACACGTGCATGTATGTTCGTGTGACACTGTGTGTGTGTGTGGAGCAGTGGTTAATGGAGTGTGCTATGAACCCTGCGACCGAGTTCAATTCCCATTCATAGTCAACATCAGTGACAAATATTTACACCGGCTCCAGACCTTCCCTAGATCGACTCAACCTTAAATGATTACCGCAGGAGATACAAAGGCGGCAAGGCGTGGTGACTGCCACACGACCCTCTCCTTTGCCATGTCGGCCTTCATAGGCGCTCGTTAACAGTACTTGCCCCAACAGTCTGTGTGGGCTACACGGAGGATCCTAAGAAGGTCAACATGGCGAAGGGGGCGGTAGTGTGGCCAACACCAAGCGCATCCGCCTTTGTCTCCCTCGCATCAAAGTTTCCACACCGTATCAGGAGCTCGACCTATGGGAGGCCCGGGACCGGTTAAAATATTCACCACCGTTATTGGTAGTGAACGGGAACCAGGTTAGTCGTCGTGCTGTGCAGCACTAACCACTGTGCCACCGCTCTCCCATACTCACATGTTCACGCGTGCACGGCGCGCCCTCATGCCCTCGCTCGAACCGAGCCTTTGATGTGGCCGCAAGTGAGATGTCAAACACAGGCTACAGAGACCCACTGCCTGCACCTCATCACCCAAAAACCCGAAAACGGGATCCTCTTAAAAAAGACTCAGAGAGGCGTTCCTGGGTAAAGAGAGGGCATTATTAGGGTCAGTACAGGCTGTTCCTACTCTCGGAGATTATGGGAGCATAGGGGAAGGAACATGAGGCCTCCTGGTCACAGTGAGCACTGTGCGGGAGAGTCAGGGTGAGAGCAGCGTTTGGCTGCCCACGCGCCACCGGCCCAAAGAGTGGCCCGTGGTCGCCATAGGCACAAGCGGCACCGGCAAGGTGGCGCTCGACCATTTAAGACGCCATTATCAATTCAGCAAAACGAGCAAGAACCACCGACACCTACCTAGCAGAGGAGGCAGCTGACAAAAATAAATGGCTGTAAGATGTTGATTATAAGGAATTATCTTGACGAACCAGCAGACGGGGATGCGCGCTGGCAGGTGAACGTGCAGCGCCTCCACGGCAGCGCCCACCGTGCACGGACGGAGTTTGGCTGAGTGTGGGCGGGTTGACTTAAACAGAGGCCTCGCTCGGCGGCTCGTGAATCCATCCGTCACACACGCAGGGGTGGAGGGAAACCGAGGCCCCGAGCAGGCAGCCCGGGCATCGTGTGTACGGGAGAGGGAAATGCAGCAGGGCAGGCGGGCGATAATATAATCGGGCGCCGTCAGGCATCACCTCGCACATGAAGGAACATGGCAGCTCGTTTGCGATGTTAATTAAGTGCTTGGACGGAAAAGGCGGAAACGTTCAAATAAGAGCACGTTGGACGGGAAATTACAATTCTACGGCCTGTGCACCTGGGCGTTCACCCCTGGGGTCCTTGGTGCCTGGGACAGCTGGTGCTCGCAATGGAGGGCATTATAGGTCAACGCAACGCAAAACTCAACTTGCTCTTCTCTCACAACTGCACAGCCAGCTCATTATTGCCAATGAGACGTATCCTGAACTTTTGAGTTCTCACCTCTGGTTTAACAAAATAAACCTGAATGTTCGGTATGTGTCACGGGCACGGTACAGGCAACGAGAACAGGGAGCAGGTGTAGTCATCAAAGCAAGGCCTCATATAGCAGCGACTGAATGCAACTGCAGCTCAGGATGCTGCAGGGTGAACTGGAACATCAGCCTGATGAAACAGGGGCGATTATTCCTGAAGTGGGCAATCCTAATTGAGTAAATTGTGGTGCAACATTTTAACTTGGGCATATTTGAAACATGACGTAGGCACACAATGGCCTAATGTTGTGAAAGACGTTCAGGGATCTTTAATATTCACTGTGAAGACGACGGCACGCGGTATTACTATGGTTGTTACGCTGGCAGATTCACCAGGGTGGCCGTGGGAATCGAACCGTGAACCTCTGCCACGCGCCGCGGTTCGGCCATGTCGACGATCTCGCCACGGCGCGGGGGCGCATCGGGGCCCCCCGCGTCCTCCCGTCCCAGCACACACAGGAGCGCATGCGCTGCCACGGTGGGAAACAGCTGCCGGCCTGTCTGGCACGGTTAGGCGTCACACACACGCAGCGTCCGTTACAGCACACGGAGTACGCCGCAACACGGGTTCGTAGCGCAGTGCATTAACCACTGGGCGACCACTCCCCACACCCGCTTGCACAAACACACACAGGGACACGCATGTGGATGTAGGCACGTGCATGGAGAGGAGGTATGGTTTAGCTCAGGGGCATCGGTCCCAGCGCAGTGGCACAAGCCAAGGTCAAGCGTAGAGATTTCATTAGGTCCTGGGGATTGATCGACTGCAACGCGACTCACACCCAAGCCCACTCCATCTGGATGGGCGGACAGGGAGAGATTCCCTACAGGCTCACAAGTCACCCCTGTCACAAAGACAAAGTTCCCCCTCATAGCCTTAACAGGCATTTGGGGCAAGTGCTGTTAGCGAGCACCTAAGAAGGCCGCAACGGTGCATGAGGAGACACGTGTCCAGCAAAAAGCTCAGGCACCATTACCTATCCAGTGGTGATGTATACACACTGCACCAGGTCCTTATTGAAGGCTGAGCCAAATATCTCAACTCAGGTCACTGGGTGCATAGTGCAGTGTGCTAAACATTGTGCCACCGCTTCCCACAAGCAATCTTTCATTTGTGCACACACACACCTGCACACATATTGTAAAAATGCAAGACGAAACACAAATACGCACACGTCAACACAGACAAGCACGTAGAAGTGCGAGCACGGAGACGTGTGGACGCACACGTACACACACACTGCTGCCTCTCTGTCTAGCAGCGCCTCTTCATCACGTCTAGCTGCTGACGTGACACAGGCTCATCCAAAGCAATTTCACCCCTCCACACAGCAGCCTCCAATTGCTCAAACGCCAAACCCATCCCAGCGGAGTCACTGGGAGACAGATTGCCGTAGCCCCCCCCACCCCCCCATCAGGAGATGCAGAAGGGGGCTCGCGCACACTCACACGGCGATACGGACTCGTGACAGCTCACACCATCACCAGACCTCCATAAAATAGTGTCCATCATCACACGCACCAACACACACACATGACGTGCACTATCATGGCCGCCGAGTGTGGGGCCGTCCCTGGCTCACACGGGGCGCGTGGCGACCGTGCTACCGCGTGGCACTGCGCCGCCCCGTGCGGTCGTGCCCTCTGCCCTTTCCCTGGTGCGACACCCAATCACCTCCCGCACACCACCCCCCACCCTCGCCCCCCCTCCTTGGTGCTGGATAATTTGTGACGCAATGCGGAACGACGGCGCCAGAAAGGACCCGTGGTGACGGACGTGGTCGGTGCCTTCGAGCGAGACGTGTGGCCTTGCATGGGGTCTAACAAACGTGCCTGTCGTTGGATTCATAATGAGACGGCGCAATCTCATTAGTCGTCTGCGTGGCGGCGGGGGGGGGGGGGGATTGGCGACTCGTCGACAATGCGAGGGAGCGTAATTTACAGCAGCTGGTGCTGAGCAGGGATGAGGAAATGGTTCGCATGGCACCATCATCCCGGTTCAGGGTTAATGCTCAGACTCACAGACTCACACACAGACATCCCAGACATTATGGTTTCAAAACGATGGTGTCAGAGGTCTCACCGTGACGATGATGGCATGAAGATGACACACTGTGCTATGATGACATGCCCACACTGAGTTGAATCAGCACACAGTGTGGGCCACTTTAAGATGCGCAGGCATGAGCGTCTGATACAGGGTTAACAATATCTCCGGCCGACTGCTAAAATCCAACAGATTCAGACGTCTTAATAATAAATAAACAAAATCTATTTCAAATGGCGACCACGCTGAGCAGGCAAAGCTAAAATTAACGTGGGGGGAGTGGGGGGCGTGCGGAGGAGTGGGGGGGGGTCGATATGAACCTCGGGATAATAACCCTGCACAGCCAGATTCATCACGTTGGGGTCGAGTGATTAGAGTCGTCACTCTCATTATTTTTTATTTCAAAATCAGGCGATTATATTTGGATCTCCTTCTATTTGCAGTTTGCCTCTGATGTCAATCAAACCACTATTTACGTCAAATCCAATCACAGTCAAAATTTGCAGCCGAGTTCCGAGTCAAATTTAGTTCCGGGGTGTTTACCCTCCTTTGGATGAAAAAAATATATAATCAAATGTATTGAAACCAAAATAGGTGGCCCCTTGCTGCCCACTCTCTATACCTCTTGTCATTACCACCACGCTCGTTCACCCGGCAAAGCCGAGCCTCAAGACTCTTTGTCAGGAGGGTCCTGCCAAGTTTGTCTCAGTAGGGGGCGATGCTGCTGCTGTGTGTGATCCCAACTGAGTAATTTGCAGGTAATTTTTTTACATTGGATGTTTTTAGCCAATATCGGTTACATTGCATGGTTATTTTGTCTATGGTCGGAAACTGGAGAACACAGACCCATGCAGAGCAGGGAGAGAACATACACACCCGACACTCGCACTCATCCACTCCCCCCCTCATTCATCCACTCACCCACCCACAACACTGCAGGTCACAACACTTCTCTTTCCACTGCACTGTCTGTACGCAGTATGTGCGTACGTCCACGGTGTGTGTGGGGTGTGGTGTGTACAACTTGCCTGGTACACGTGGTGTGTGTGTGCTGTGTGGTGGTGATGTCACCGCCACTTAGTGGGAAATGGCGGCTGTTGTTGTTGTGGTGTCTGCCACTTGCCTGGTACACATGGCATGCATGTGTGTGTTGTGGTGATGTCACCAGTGACTGTTGTTGTTGTGGTGTCTGCCACTTGCCTGGTACAGGTGGCGTGCATGTGTGTAGTGACTGTTGTTGTTGTGGTGTCTGCCACTTGCCTGGTACACGTGGTGTGTGTCTGTCGCCTTTTTGCGCAGAAACACCGAAGGGATCCAGACGTTGACCAGAGCGCGGTAGTTGGTCGCACTGCAAAGGTCGTGAATTTTAATGGAGCCCAGGAGAATTACGGCCCAGGGCTAACCATGAACCCCTAACATGGTACTTCACAGGGCACGAATGAAGGGGTGGATGTGTTTGAGGCTTGTAATTGTTTGGGCCGTGGTGCTGGGACACAGCGTCCCCACTGTGTTGAAAACAGTGCCGCCAGGTGTTTAACACAGAGGAGAAATCCGGCACCATCCGTACAGGAACCACCTGTAGCAATGGGTGACCTCCGGGGGGTTCAAACTGCTAAACCCGTGCAGGTTGACCCATTGGGGGGCATGCCGACCCCGAGACTCCCCAGCAGGGAGGACATACCCTACAACGACAGAGATCCTCCGTGTAGTCTATGTAGATTGTTTGGGCACGTGCTATTCGCGAGCACCCATGAAGGCCGGCACGGCGCACGAAGAGGCAATGTGGCCAGCACTGCTCTCCATAACCGATGTTAACACGCTGCATCAGGTACACATTTAAGGCTGGGTCGACCTAGGAGAGGCTCAAGACGAGTTCAGATACACGTCACAGATGTTCGGCTGTGAATAGAACTCGCGTTGTGGGGTTTGTAGTACGGTGCACTAACCGCTATGCCACGGCTCTGGAAGAGGCCACATACTCGACACGCACGCATGTACACCAGTGAGGTGTATAGGGACATCATGCAGCGTTTGTTGACCGGGTGGGCTGTAATTCCTTTCTGTGCACACCTGTCAAAGTCCGAGAGGCTGGGGTCTTCGGATGACTGGCTGAGGTCACCGGGAAGCTGTGAGAAGACACAGACAACAATTGTCACGCAAAACACAAACCAAACCCGGCACCCCAGGGCAACTTTCTGCACAAATGAGAATTGGGCCATCTGCGCACGTCTACTGTTTACAGCCCAGCAGAATCAGTGATGGAAATTCCACATTCCTATGGCAGGGAAGAGTCTCCCCATAGAAAAAACACTCTTGACTTCTCCACAAAGTGGTAGCTATTTTATTCACCTGGAAGGATGATGGGCTGAGTTATCATCCCAACGCATCACCCAGGATGGACAGCATCAAACTCCAGGAGCCGAGACAGGCACACGGCACCTTCAGGCGGAAGCCGGGCTCGGAGCGGAGCCGCCTGATCCCGCACGGACCTCGTCAAAGGACGCCGCATGTTCACCCTCTGCGCCACCCTTCCCTCCTTGCTCACACCGCCTCCTCACGTGCCTCTTCTTACACTCTCGTGAGAGGCACTTTTCTTCAATTACCAGGGAGGTGGTACTCGTGTCTCACAGAAACAAGTGCCTGGATTCCATTCCTGACTCGGGTGGAGGTTGTATGTTCTCCCCTCGTTCTGCATGGGTTTCCTCCAGATTCTCCGGTTTCCTCCCTAACAATCATCCCAGTGCTGAAAATTTCACAAAAAATTCCTTCATTGGGATCACACACATCGCACCCTGTTTTGACCAACTTGGCAGGACCTTCTTGAAAAAGAGACTTGAGACTCGGTGAGGCTTTCCCAGGGAAACAAGCTGATTAATTATTATGTTGTGTTGCTGGAGCTCTCCTTGCCCTTCGCACGTACCCTCTGTCCTCGGCGCTGATTTCCCACTTAAGAGTTGGGATCAACGAGGTCTTTTGTTCAAGGCCTTCACATGCAAACGCCCGCCCGCCCGAAGTCGCACAAATGCGTGGCTAACAATAAACAAACAGCGCCATGGCCGGTGCCTGTCAAGGGTTAATCCACCGGCAGAGAACAAAAAAGAATGCGGCGAGGCGCCTTGCGGAATGCTAATCTTGCGGTCAGGCGGCGCGTACTATTCCTGCAAACCTAGCGTGATGTTTAGCTGGATAAGCGAGCGGACACGAGGATGTATTCCGGGCAATTCGCCTCGGGCGGCAACGGTGGTACTGCCGCCACCCCCCTTGCTGCCGCTGCCGCCGGCCCAGCAGCGCGGACACGGCGCCGGATGAGAGCCGCGGGTTTCACGCGCATGGCCACTGCGTGCGTGTACGGCACACGCGGCTAGCGCATGCTGTGGGGTCGCCACCTTTTCCACCGAGGATCAAGCCCGGACACGTGACTCAGTCGGCCTAGGTCTACATCAACACACTATCCAGGCTCAAACCTGCTTAGCTTACAAGACTTGACAAGATCGAGCGCATTCCAGGCAATTTGGGTGGAGTCGTCCTGTTGCGTGGCGCTCCGTGCCGTGAGTGTGAGGCTAGGAGCGGTGTGGCGCTCCGTGCCGTGAGTGTGAGGCTAGGAGTGCTGTGACGCTCCGTGCCGGGAGTGTGAGGCTAGGAGTGCTGTGATGCTCCGTGCCGGGAGTGTGAGGCTAGGAGCGGTGTGACGCTCCGTGCCGGGAGTGTGAGGCTAGGAGCGGTGTGGCACTCCGTGCCTGGAGTGTGAGGCTAGGAGCGGTGTGGCGCTCCATGCCGGGAGTGTGAGGCTAGGAGCGGTGTGACTCTCCGTGCCGTGAGTGTGAGGCTAGGAGCGGTGTGGCGCTCCGTGCCGGGAGTGTGAGGCTAGGAGCGGTGTGGCGCTCCGTGCCGGGAGTGTGAGGCTAGGAGCGGTGTGGCGCTCCGTGCCGGGAGTGTGAGGCTAGGAGCGGTGTGGCACTCTGTGCCGGGAGTGTGAGGCTAGGAGCGGTGTGGCGCTCCGTGCCGGGAGTGTGAGGCTAGGAGCGGTGTGACTCTCCGTGCCGGGAGTGTGAGGCTAGGAGCGGTGTGGCGCTCCGTGTCGGGAGTGTGAGGCTAGGAGCGGTGTGGCGCTCCGTGCCGGGAGTGTGAGGCTAGGAGCGGTGTGGCACTCCGTGCCGGGAGTGTGAGGCTAGGAGCAGTGTGGCGCTCCGTGCCGGGAGTGTGAGGCTAGGAGCGGTGTGGCGCTCCGTGCCGGGAGTGTGAGGCTAGGAGCGGTGTGGCACTCCGTGCCGGGAGTGTGAGGCTAGGAGCGGTGTGGCGCTCCGTGTCGGGAGTGTGAGGCTAGGAGCGGTGTGGCGCTCCGTGCCGGGAGTGTGAGGCTAGGAGCGGTGTGGCACTCCGTGCCGGGAGTGTGAGGCTAGGAGCAGTGTGGCGCTCCGTGCCGGGAGTGTGAAGCTAGGAGCGGTGTGGCGCTCCGTGCTGGGAGTGTGAGGCTAGGAGCGGTGTGACTCTCCGTGCCGGGAGTGTGAGGCTAGGAGCAGTGTGGCGCTCCGTGCCGGGAGTGTGAGGCTAGGAGCGGTGTGGCGCTCCGTGCCGGGAGTGTGCGGCTAGGAGCGGTGTGGCACTCCGTGCCGGGAGTGTGAGGTTGGGAGCGGTGTGGCGCTCCGTGTCGGGAGTGTGAGGCTAGGAGCGGTGTGGCGCTCCGTGCCGGGAGTGTGAGGCTAGGAGCGGTGTGGCACTCCGTGCCGGGAGTGTGAGGCTAGGAGCAGTGTGGCGCTCCGTGCCGGGAGTGTGAAGCTAGGAGCGGTGTGGCGCTCCGTGCTGGGAGTGTGAGGCTAGGAGCGGTGTGACTCTCCGTGCCGGGAGTGTGAGGCTAGACGCGGTGTGGCACTCCGTGCCGGGAGTGTGAGGCTAGGAGCGGTGTGGCGCTCCGTGCCGGGAGTGTGAGGCTAGGAGCGGTGTGGCGCTCTATACCGTGAGTGTGGGGCTAGGAGTGGTGTGGCGCTCCATGCTGTGAGTGTGAGTCGTGTGGTGTTACACCTACGGGCCCACGCAGCTCCACCAGCTCCTGCCTCATCTGGTGGATGAGCGCGTCCTTCCCCATGAGGCTGCGGTGCAGACGCTCGTTAAACTCCATCAGCTCCCCATGCATCTCTGCCACCTGACAAATGGGAATATGCACACACACAAGGCAAAGATAAATATATCCCGTATAGCCTTAACAGACTGCAGGGGCAAGTATTGTTAGCGAGCACCTATGAAGGCCGGCACAGCACATGATAAGGTAGGTGGCCAACACCATGCCTACCGCCTGTCTCCCCAGTGGCGATATTGACACACCACACAAGGTATTTATTTGAGGCTGAGCCGACCTAGGGGAGGCTTAGGACCAGTTCAGATAATTGTCACTGCACACACATGCACACATACATATACATGAATGTATACAACAACAACAACCGCCATTCACCACTAAGTGGCGGTGACGTCACCACGACGCTTGTGCCAGGCTATGTGCACCCTGAGGCCACGTGAAGTGTCGAACGCCCGCTGGCAGGAGGTCACGGGGCAGACCTAGGTGCCACGGGTCGACTGACTGAGATGACTGGCTGATGCACCACCTGTGCCCCCTACTGTGCCAACCTGCTGTGCTTTAGCCACCCGGCGCTCCGCTCGTTGTTGTGAGCGTCGTTCCTCCGCCCTCCGTTGTTGTTGGAGGGCGACTACCTCCAACTGCCCAGTAGCGTCCTTCATGAGCCTCCTCCACAGAGGCCGATCTTGACACCGCTGGTACCAGTCATCGGCAAGTCCACTCAGCTCCACGTCCTCCTGTACCACATCACTCCATCTCTTCTCTAGCCCGTGCCGCGCCCGCTTAGCCCCCTCAATCCGGCCGAACAAAAGCTGTTTTGGCATGCGGTGGCTGGGCATGCGGGCTACATGACCCAGCCATCGCAGCCTTCCCCGCCGGAGGAGCTCACCGATGGGACCTTGCCCAGATCTTTCAAGGATTTGTGAGCTCCTCACACAATCCAGTCTGGTTAAACCCAGGATGGATCGTAGGCAGGCCAGCCTAAATGTTTCTAACCGGCGAAGATGTTCCATTAAGGGGGTCCACATTTTGCAAGCGTACAGAAGGGAGGGAATGACCGTGGCCGAGAAGACCTGAAGCTTAGTGCGGAGCGACAGACCAGGTAGCTTCCACACAGCGTTACGCAACCGATGAAAAGATATTGCCGCTCGACTGCTTCGGAGTGAGACCTCTGCTGTTAAACTGGAGCCGGTGAATGTATACACACGCACACACATGCACACACGCACGCACATGCACACCAATACCAATAACCGCCATTCGCCACTAACGGACGGTGGGTGACGTCACCACGGCGCCTGTGCCAGGCCGGGTGCACTTTTGAGGCCACGTGAAGTGTCGAAAGCTCGCTGACAGGTCTTGGGACAGACCAAGCATGAGCCATGGGTTGGCCGACTGAGATGATCGGTAGATGCACCAGCTGTACCCCCTGTGCCAACTTGCTGCATTTTAGCCACCCGTCACTCCGCTCATTGTTGTGAGCGTCACTCCTCTGCCCTCTGTTGTTACTGGAGGGTGTGGAGAGTGACTACCTCAAACTGCCCAGTAGCATCCTTCACGAGCCCCCTCCAAAGCGGCCGATATTGACACCGCTGTGGCCAAACAGAAGCTGCTTAGGTATACAGTGGCTGGGCATGCGGGCTACAAGACCCAGCCAGTGCAGCCTTGTCTGCCGGAGGGGCTCACTGATGGGAATGCGTCCACATCTTTCAAGGACCTGTGAGCTCCTCACACAATCCAGCCTGGTTGAACCCAGGAAGGATCATAGAGGCATGCCAGCCTGAACGTTTCTAACCGGTGCAGATGTTCCATTAGAGGGGTCCACGTTTAACAAGCATAGAGTTGGGAGGGCATGACTATGGCCGAGAAGATCTGAAGCTCCGTACGAAACGACAGACCAGGTAGCCTCATTACAGAATTGTGCAGCCAATAAAAAGCTAATGTCACCCGACTCTTTCGGAGTGAGACGTCTGCTGTCAAACCGGAGCTGGTCATCAGAACACTGCCCAGGTACGGGAAACTCTCTACTTTCTCCACAACTGCTCCATCACGAATAGGGAGCTGAGGGGGTGGAGTGTTTGGTGGCACAGGCAGGTGCTTAGTGTTGGTGGGGCTGATGGTAAGACCCCACCTTAGTGTCACACTCTTTTCCTGGTCTCAGACTTTGGCTCGTCCCTCACACTTCCCCCACAGATGCTACCTCAGCCAACCATTCAGAAGGGGTGGCTATTTCTGCCAATATTTGAGGGACTGCAGCCCTAGCAGGGTCGTCCCCACCTTGCCCCATGATGTTGTCTGGGCTGAGGGAATTCACCTCCTCCAAGACCTCACAAAAATGCTCTGCAAACCTGCAGACCTGTTCCTGGGGGTTGGAGATCGAATTTCCGCTCTTTCCCTGAAGGATGTTGATAGGTGAGACGCTACAAGTTACTTTTTTGATGGAATTAAAAAGTTATTTGTGATTGCGGGCTAGTGAGGCAGATTCCATCCCCTCAGCAACCCACCACTCATTCTTGCAGCACCGCACAGCTCTCCGAATCTCCGAGTGAAGGCTGCGGTAAGCCTCCTCATTCTCCGATGTTGGAGATTATAGATGACTGGAGTGGACCTGCCGATTTCTCTCAATCTGCCAGAAGACTTCCTCTTCAGCCAGGGTCTCTGGGGAGGTCTGGACTGCATACCCAATGCAGTTGTTGCAGGTGCATGAGCCACAGTCCTGAACCTCACCCATTTCCCCTCAGCATCAGAAGGAGGGGGGCACGATGCTAACCCCAGGTGCAAGCGATGTTGAAATTCCTGCTTGCAACTATCCTCAGCTAGCTGAGACCAGGCCACTGTGGGTTTGAATGGGGTCCTAGATGGACACCCACCACCAGAGTAGAAAAATGGCAGGCGCATCTTACAGATGACAAGTCGATGATAAGTGGGCAGATCAGCTCCACAGGAGGTCTTGGTGTCAAGGACATGGGCCCACATCCGCTGGTCCACAATTATATAGTCCAGCAGATGGTTTTGCTTGGATCCAGCATACATCCATGATATGTGGATGCGCCTGATGCCGGAACAGCGTGTTCGTAATTACAAGCCCATGGGCGACACAGAAGTCTAGTAGCCTGCTTCCGTTATTACTGAGCTGATCGGGCCCATGCTTTCCGATCGCTCCAACCCAGGTGTGTGTCATGACCCACTCAGGCATTAAAGTCACCTAACAGGATTACTCGACCCCGAGGGGCCACTTTAGCTAGCACCTGGGACAGGAGGTTGTAGAAGACATCTTGACTCATCGGCCTTATCTGCATCCCTCATGCACATACGCATAGACACACACATGCAGACTTACGTGCGCGCACACACACGCGCACCTGAGACTCCCCAACTCACACAGCTTTGCACACCCGGGCCTGGTTTCACAGGCGCATCAGCAACGTGTGCGCACAAACGCAACGTACCAATATACGCAGAGACTTGAAATCCCATCTCCTTTACACATGCTGTATAAACACTCAGTGTGGTGTGTGTGTGTACATTGAATAAACTAAACGCAGTTCCTGCGCACAGGCCAAACGGCCTCAACAGACTGTTTCTTTTTTTTTTCATTTATTTGGTATAGCCCTGTGAGCCATTTGGCTCTTGAAACGGGTGCAACCGCAACAAACAAAAAACATGAACAAGAAAACATCTTAAAGTGACGATGTGACTGTGCAAACAGAAAATCCAGGAAAAAACAGCAAAATATTCCTGAAAAAGCACCATACACCAACGCTGTGTGCAAAAATCCCAGTGAGATGCAAGTCAAACAACAACAACAACCACAATACAACTTAGATTAAGGCCATCAGTTTAACTCCGTACTACAACAAACAAACATGGCCAAACCAAAAAACGTTTTCGACATCACCAAAATAAAGCCATAAAAGCAATGTAACAGTGATCATAGGAACTGTGACCGAATTTTCACAATAAACGACATAAACAACATGTAACACCAAACCCTAGAGCCATAGCTGGCTGCATGAGTCACTCCACAACAACAGGAGCATCAGTCGGAGTATCACATTTTTCAATGCACCTTTAAGATCAGCACACTAAATCAAAATACAGATAATACTTTGCAGCGGTCATCCGGAGCGAAACATTTTATTTTATTTTAGGCCACTGAATAGCAGTGGCAGCTAGGGGTGTACAACTCGTCTAGAGCAGTTTTGAGTGAAGATCTCATAGGTAGTGATTCAAGTTGCAGTTTATTGGCAATAGTATTCCAGACCCTGAGGGCATCAATAGCAAAGGCCCTTCCTCCAGTTTTTGTATGGTAATAGGGAATGTGAAGCTGGTAAATGAGCAAAGACCTGAGGTCAAATTTTTCTTTGAAACAGAGAGGAGATCCAGCAGGTAGTCTGCGGATTTTTTTGTAAGTACATCGTGAATAAATAAGATCTGGTGCACAAGCCGTCGAACATTAAGAGATGTTAAGTTTGACCCAATGTAGAGATCACAGTGGTGAGTCCTATATGGGCAGTTCAATGCAAATCTTAAGGCCGAGTGATAGATGGAATCAAGCTTCTTCAGTACAGTACTTGGAGCTGATTTATACACGATGTCACAGTAATCAAGTAGAGGCAGGATGGTAGCTTTTATCAATTCCAAACGGAACATAGGGGGGAAGCAGTGCTTGTGTCGATACAGAAAACCAATTTGTATTTTTGTCTTTTTACCAATATAATCAATGTGATCTTCAAAATTCAGTTTTGAATCCAGGATGACCCCAAGCTACTTATAGATCTTGACTTGCTCTATTTGATAATTATTTAAGGAATGTAATTGGGGAAAAATAACTTCCTGCTTTAGTCCTGGTGAGAAGCATAGCACCTTAGTTTTGGAGGGATTCAGGACTAGTTTAAGAGCAACTAGCTGATGTTGTAGTTTGTTGAAATCACCCTGGAGCTTAGCAATCGCGTCATCCGGAGAGCGGCCAGCAGTAATCAGTATCGTGTCATCTGCAAAAAGATTTACTCTGGAATGATCCAGGTCAGTGCCCAAGTCATTGACATATAGAGAGAAGAAGAGGGGGC